AAAAAAATCCATCATATTAAATACGTTTAAACTATAATACATAATTATCTAACTAACATGACTAAATTGATCATTTGTGTAAGTTCTGATGATGCCCTTTTATTTTGAATTTACGTATTATGCTAATGTAATAATATTTTTCATCATTTAGATGATTGTTGTATTATTATACATAAAATTTCTTTCATTAATTAAATTTTATTGTTCCTTCATATAAATAAAAGTTTAAACCGTCACGTGCCACGTTCATAGATACTAGTAATATAAAATGAAGCACATATATTTTGTGTGGTAAAAGTAAATTATTTTCAAATAGGAAAAGAGGTCATTCTTTATTGCGCGAACTAAAAAAAATCTCATTTATCAAAATAGTTTTTAAAAAGGGAACAACCATGTAAAAATTCCATCTCTTTTTAAAAAGTACTTCTACGATCCGTCCCTCATAATACTGCCATAAGGATTTAGCTCAGTTAAGCCAATCCATCAGTTCCGCCTGTTGACCCAAGTTGCCAACTACCGACCACCTAAAGAACATATCTACAAACATGTCCTCACGTAATGCAATTCTGGTATATAACTTTCAGAAATCGTTTTAAATTTACTTGTCCCACCCTCTGCGGACTTTACCGACTAGAAAAGAAAGAAGATAACTCAAAACGAATAATTAACAAAAGTAAAATACAACATTAGCATTCCCATGTCATATTATACATCAACATCAATTCCATGGTTTTAAACACAAAATCCGTGCAAATATAATCCATGATCAGACCATATAGCTGTAAAAAGATCAATTCAAACCACCTCGACACTTGGGATCATTGTTTCCATCAACTCGTATCAAAATTCACGAGGACAATTACAAAATGCATCTACTGTTAACACAACACGCCCTCCTCTTCCTCCTAACATAGTGAATCTAAGCTTTCTTCTTATCTCTCAATGGCCCTCGAGGAATTTTACTCAATACCTTTGCATCAAAGACGGCGTACTGTTTCTTGAGTTCATGCAAGGCCTTCTCAGCAAAAGAGTCGATCTGGTCCTCATATTTTTCATAGAGAACAGGCACCGTGTGGAGCACCACAACAACTGTTTCAAGAAGTTGCACAAATCAATATCGAATCACCAAAACTTGCATCTAAAAATTAAGGCCCACTAATCAAGGGTGAAGAATTTACTTATGTAGAATAGGCTCAAGAAATCACAGCAACTGCCCAAGACTGACAAGATCCACAAGCCACCAACGACCTGATAAGTTTACAAGATTAACATTTGATATCACACCCAAAAATCCTAAATGTAATGATTAGAAATGAGGTTTTGTAACCAAATAAGTCATTCAGATGAAAGTATCTTAGAACTTAGCATATAAAACAAGACACGCACCATAAGGAACATCTTTAGATCCCTTCCAGCTGCAATTTCCCTCAGAACTGCAAAGGCATGATTGATCTCATTCCTAAGACCAGTGGCAAACTCCAATACAGGCTTCTCAGGGATGTGAACTTCCGGAATGTGTGGTGCAGATCTAAGTAGGACAAAGAAACCATCAATCGATAAAAAAATCAACCAACTAAGCCTTAATCCCGAACTTGTAAGAGTCTGCTATACGAATCTTCTAATATACATTCCTCTTGAAGATTGTATATCATTTAAGTATAACAGCAAGATAACTTACTTGTGAATGAAGGCGCTAGCGTTGCTCCACAAAAACAATCCAGCCAGAGCAACTATCAAACCATGACAGAGCAGGGTAAGGAAATGGTATTCTACTACCTCAAAGAGAACCCAGATAGCTGTGGCTCCACCAAGAAATCCTGCAGATATCTTCTTGTTTCTCCACAAGAACACATCAGCAGCTGCACCACAAAACAATACGTGTGAATTGTGAATTTCAACACATCAACCAACTATGCCTCAAAAAAACTAATCAGATCAGCTATATAATTATAGAAGCGGATTCAAGATTTGAACTTTATGGTTCAGAGTTCGATTTTTTTTTTTTGGGGGTGTGTGTTTTGAGAAAGGTTCAAGTTTGAAATTCTACCACAACCAATTTGATTTGCTAGGTTCATAGTCCATAATTTGCTGTACTTATTTTGTGAAATATTGAATGTGTATATATGGTTTGAATCAAAGCTACTGGATTGGAACCTATAACTTCTAAGCTAGGTCCTCACAGTATATGAATCCTCTATATCCAATCCGCTCCATCTGGACTAGATTTATAAATGCTATCTGAATGCAATAACAATAACAGCTATGCAACAACAACAACTAAGTCTCAGTCCCAAAAAAAAATGGGGTCTCACTAACAATCTCATAAACTCATTTCAGGCTAATATTATACAAAATAATATTAATGATAATAATAATAATAATAAGTATTAAAAATATTTCCTCTCCCAAAATGTTGATTTGAATACCTCAAAATTTTTCTTGCCCTAAGACTAAAATATCGCAAGGCTTACTCAACACTTGAACAATCCCTACCCCCACCCACCCACCCCCCACCCCCCAAACCCCAAATAAAAGAATTTAAGATAAATTATGCTAATAGTTCGAAACTGTAATCCAAGCAAAAGCGCAAACACTATAATCATTTCAAAGGTAAAAAAGGTAGAACTCATGCCTAATCTTTTGAACAAAGACATCCATCAATAGCATCAAACCATTTGAACCCATTAAACTAAACAAAAGGCCAACTTTAACAATCTCTTTAAAGTTATAATAAGACTAATATACAGATCCAGATCTAAAAACAGCGAACAAGCAGATACAATAAAAACCCACAAAAAAAGAATATCTAAAGCGCATATAGAGCAGCAATCCAAATATGAATCCTTAATCAAATAAAAGTTTCACTCTGTTACTAGTCAACTAAATTAGATTTTTTTCCCCTTTTTTTCAACAAAGAGCTGAAACAAAATTAAGAGTAATTGAAAAAAGCAACCAAAAAAAAAAAAAAGACTCACGTTTACCACCGCCGAAGACTTTGTGAACAGGACGTTCCCTACCAAAAAGCCGACGAACCTTAGACTTAAACGACGACGTTCCAGGAGGAGATGACGCCGTTTTCTTATCGTCATCAGAATCAGAAGAAGATGAAGAAGAGTGATGGTTATTATTACTGAGATGAAGTGTTTCAGTGATTTTTTCCATTACAGATTCCTCATGCTCCTCGGATTTCTCCACTTTACGCTCCTCGTGTTCCGTCATTATCAGTAAAATAAAACCCTAATCCTTGAAAATCGGTGAATTTATGTGTGTACTGTATCTAAGAGATAAAATTGCAGAGATTCTGATAGAGAAAAGATGAATCTGTAACTGGCTTTATACTGCTGTGATTTTGCTTTTAGTCCTTCAATTATTAGTCAATTTATTTTTTGACCCTATATACTCTTTGATTTTTCAAATTTAACCACTTTTTTTTAATAACATTTTGTTTGGATCTATTTGTGCGCACTTCAATTAATTAATTACATGCTACTTTTTTATCAACATAAGCACCGAATAATTTTATTAACAAATGCTTAGACATAAATGTTGAAATCACATGCTTTTTACTTTTACATAAATTTATATCTCATCTGGCATGTTATATTCTTGCTCCATTACACTCTCTTAGGTGTGAATATTAGGGGTGGGTATCGGTCGGTTCGGTTCGGTTATGAATATTATCGATTTTGCCTATCAGTTATCGGTTTACAAATATCATAACCCGATAACCAAACCGATAAGATATTGGTTATCGGTTATCAATCATTATCGGTTTGGTTATCGGTTTACCCGATAAGATAAAACAACTAAAACCATTTTGGCAATGTATAAAACAGTTTCGGTATAAAACTATTTTTGCTAAAACAGTTTTATAAGATTTTAAGAACTGTTTTGCTAAAACTCTTTTCAGAACTATTCTATTTCACAAGAATTTAAATTTACTGCAACATCCAATAAAATAAACACTAACCGAAGTTTCTATCTTTCATTCTTCAACCCAAAAAATATAAATAAAAATTCCAATACCAGTCAGTGACGAAAAAATAGAATATCAGTCATATTTTCACTTCGACACTTTTTTCTTTGTTCAAACGACTAGCAGTAACTCTATGTACATTGATATCTACTTTTTTACTCTGGTACAGAATTATGTATATAGTTTAAAAAGTTTATTAGTTATGAAATACAAATTTTGTAACAACTGACACAACATAACTTTGTAACAGCTCAACAATTAAAGCACACGATAAATCTCACTTCAGCTTTCAAACAAACTAAGAAAATTCCAGAGCCAGAATGCTTTCAAACAAACTAAGAAATAGATGAAGATGGAGCAACTAAAAACTTACCGAAGAATCAAGATGAAGCTGAAGAATGCGGCTGAGAAATGCGACTGAAGAATCTGATGGATCTGAGAAATGAAGTGAAGATGCGATTGAAGAGTGAAAGAAAGAAGCTGAGAAATGCGACTGGCGCCGGCCTGAGTCTTGACGGGCTGACTGGTGAGGGCGTGAGGCGGAGAAACTGAGAAAGAATATGGAAATCAAAGAGTGAACTATGAAGTATGAATTATGAAACCCTAGGATGTATATACTTAAGGGTAAACTAGTAAATTAGTTAATTCTTATTGGGTTATCGGTTTTACCCAATAACAGAATTGCCAAACCGAGCCCGAACCGATAACCCAATAAAAAAAAATTTAACCCGTTACCGAACTGTTAATCCAATAACCCAATACCGATAATCCAATAAATAATTAACGGTTCGGGTTATCGGTTTTACCCGATATATGCCCACCCCTAGTGAATATGCAAATTTTTAGCCTTTAATTGATAAATTTACCACTTTTAGTTTTAATTCATCACTAAACTTCAACAAACTAAATATAGTGTTAATATAAAATAAAGAGTTATATTATTATCTTCCTTTTAGCTTATATGACTCTTCTGTTTTATAATCTTACGTTAAGATTGATCTAACAATAACATTATCATTTTATAGAGTACAATTCTAAACTAATATGTTATTTTAAATATCAAATTGAAATTTTTAATTATTACTTTAACTCATTTCAAGTATAAATATTATATGCATGTTAATTGAGTAGAACTATCTTTCTTTCCCTGTTAAGTCAAGCATCATTACATGTAAAGAAAGATGAAACTAATTACAGTGAAACATCTTTATAATAGGCTCGTTTGTTCGAATATTTTTAAATGTTATAGCGAAATGTTGTTCATATATTATAACATAACATAAATATTGATTCCGAAAAAGCTTGGCTTTTATATTGAAGTGTTGTTATATCAGGCTATTGTTTTAGAGATGCCTGACTTTATTTTTTTGTAAAGGCGAAAGATGAGAAATTACATGTAAATAAATAAACATTAGTTAAATTTATGAAAATTTACTTCTCAAATGATAAAAATGAAACAATTTTACGAATTAAAAATCCACTATTTAGCCAGAAACTATAGGGATCAACATTGCTATTTTTACAATACTTGAGGGACTAAAGAAAAATTCCCTTTTTACTTTGTGGAGAATAGAGTGGTGGCGAGATTCTGGTCCTATGTGAAAGCGAGATCTGAGCCGTTAATTTAATCGGCGTGGCAGCTGATGTATATAGAGCTAAATGGAAGGTACTAGAAAAAGGAAAATGTGAAGACAAACGGGCGCGTTATCGTACTGTACCAGAGTTGATTTTTTCGAGGTAAATTTATAGCTTCTAGGTGATGTCTTTTACCACTCAATTTACCCTATTTACTTCCACTGTAATTACTGATTTACTGTTTAAATACAAATACAAAGAACAATCAAGAAATTAGTTGTTTGGTATTAGAGGGTGTTTGGATTGGCTAGTCTACCTTTTGTCCTAAATAATATAAACACTAATATAAGATATAAAAAATCACTAATATTCAAATTTGATATAGTTTACAGTCTTGAATTAACACAACGATTTACTATATTAATTCAAATTTAATGTTTTAAAACTTTTTTAAAATCCTAATCAAGGAAGTGGTGCGTTTGGTAAAGTTAAAAGTGCTTATAAGTCACGTGCTTATAAGTCAAAAATAAGCCAAAAGTCATAAGCTGGTCTCCCCCAGCTTATGAGTATTTAGCTTATAAGCACTTTAAATTCCCCCCCGCCCCCCCCCCCTCGTGCCTCTTCAAGTTTGCAATTCTCATTGACTATTTAAGATAAGCAAATTCTCTATTCCTTTGCATATTTGTATCTATGTGATTGTGTATTATATTTGAACTGTATGTAATAAATGAGGACATATCAAATTTTTGGTGTATTGCTTTCTAAGTGTTGTGGTGATGAAGACACTGTTTGTTTCTCTTCAAATATTTTGTCCTATTTAGGTGTATTTTTTACTGAGATACTTTTGTCAATTTATTAATTATATAACTTATGATTTATATGCTTATCAAAAATATAAATTATATTAAAATAAAATGACAAATAGAAGATTTTGTATTTGAATCGATCTGGAATCTAAAATTTTGAAGAAATTACGCCCTTATAAGTGTAAATAGTTCTAAGGTTATTAAAGTCATTTTAACAGAAAAAGAGTTTATCAGCATTTTTTTTATCCAATACTGCAGCAGCTTATTATCAATTTCAGCACTGTATCCAAGCACGTAACTGCTTATTTATTAAATCAATTTTAGCACCTAATGCTTATCAGCTACTTTAAATCAGCTAATCCAAACGGGCTCTTATTCGTGAGAAATAACGGCATTACGTTGAAGGCTGCTGTAAACATCAGAGGCGAAGTTAGGATTTGAACTTTATGGGTTTGGGATTATAATCCTTCTAAGTTAATTGCTGAGTTCTAAATTAATAATTTGTGCATATTCATTAGATTTCTTAATACAAATACAGGGTTTGAACAAAAACTACTGGATTCGGCCGAATCCGCAACCAATATTGTGACTCTATCCCTGATAAAAGTAGATTATATTTGTATATTAAGATAGATAATAAATCAAAAACATATACCATAATTTCCGTATATTAAGAAAATATTGAATCTAAACGAATTTGATTGCTTACTTACTAAGTTTTGAAACAGGAATTTTTTTAAAAATCTCTAAAATTGAGACGTAAAGATCTATTATTTAAGTATAACCACGTAACACTTTTGTCCACGTAAAAGTACTCTTATTTTTGTGTGTAAATTACTTCGAATTTTATCATATATACCAACAAAAGAGAGACATACGTAGAAAGGAGTTAACTTTTTTTCACTCTAGTTGACTATGAGAAATTACATATATCGATCTTCAACCGTTTAATCACAAATAAACTAAGACAAATTTAAATCTCAGCTGTATTTTGTGGATACCAGATAGCTTGACATGTAAGTAAGAAGAAATTGGACTTTATCGAGAATTAAATATAGTGGATTCTAGAACTAATTTGTTTTCTTAATGGAGGAGGTCAAGTTATCAACCTTCCACGCGTAATCATCTAATTCGTGTTTATATTGGGAGCAATTTACGTGCAGGATCAGCTAACTTTTAGGTTATAATTAACTAATCAGGTGCTTTAGAATAATTAATATGGAATTCCATTTGAACATGACATTTCTATTTACAGAAGACGTCAAATTTATAAAATTTTCACGAGGCATGATCACACGGTGTTTTTTCTGAAATACTCTTTCCGGTTCAATTAATTGATTTTTTGGGTTGTTTTTTCGTATGTGAAGAAATTCACCTTTTAATATTAATTAAAAATAAAATCGATCATTTTAACATTTACTATCTCTTTAATTTACTCATTAGAAATATAATATATACTTCGAGACTCTTTATTCAGACTTAACTTTGAAAAAAAAAATAAATTAATTTCTTCTTGATATCTGAAAAAAATCAAATATATTACATCCACATATGCGCAAAAAATTTAGTGCTTCCCGGAAGCTAGAAAAAGAGAGAGAAATATGAAAGGAAACATTATTTATGGTGAGAGTTTACACATCGATTCCTTAATTTGACTAAATATTAGAAATTACAAGTATCACTATTAGAAATTCGTTAAATATCGACCAAAAAAACCGACTAAGACGCGATCAATACGCTTGGAAGGTATTTTGAGGTCGTTTTAATATACCGACCAGAGTTGGTCGGAAATTATCAACTGACGTTGGTCGGTAAATTAAATTCAAAAAAAAAATATTGTAAGAAAAACCGACCAAAGTTGGTCGGTATTTTAATTATGTAATCAAAAGATTCACCGTCTGGGAATCGAACCGGGGTGTGCACTGTGGCAGGATACTATTCTACCATAAGACCATTGGTGCATT